AGCTCATGGGGTTCCTCTTATCAAACACCACTTCAAGGAGCTGGCAGTTTGAGGTGAGGGTATGTGTTAGGAGCACGTGTTAACATCCTCTGCATTTTTGTGGTCCAGTGAACCTTGCTCAGGTGGGTACTGATGGTTACCATTAACCCCCTCTAGTCATCTGAAAAAGGCTGGATGTTGGCAGATGGCAATCCTTCCTCTTCTAGGATGCCCAAGCTCTGTGGAAAATACTAGCCTTTAGCAAGCCTTGCTCTAAGAGCAAACTGCACATTCATCTGAAACCTCTTACTAAATAAGTTGGACTTGATGACTCTTCCTTCTATGATTCTATTTCGAAGGAAAAATATTGTTCTCTTTGCTCAGTGTGCAAATGTAACTTCTTTTATTTTTCTTTCTTTAGGTACAGGATCGAACATTCTTTCTGCTCTGCAGGATTTGCTCTGGCTATTGAAATCCAAAGTAGAGAAACAACTCCAAATTATCTCTGTGCTGCAATGGGTTCTCACTTTCCTTATCATGGGTAATGCCTTCTGGCCTAAAGCAAAGGGGTTTTGGCTGTAATTCTGAAAGAATTTTAATGCAAAAATGTTGACTTTTGCATAAGTGTTGATTACTGGATGTGTACTGCAGCAGTGTAGTTCCTGGGGTGTGTGGGTATTGTAAACCAGTTACACTGATATTTTCAACCATAAATGACTTTTCCTGGCTCTAGAAAGTCATAAGAGCTATGGAAAGACTGACTGATGTTTAGCTCATGGCTGTGTCCACTGTGCAAATGAGGCTGAAACAATTGGAAATGTCTTGGCTTGCTCATGGGAATATCCACAGGGGTTTCTTAGAAGCAACTGGTAACTGGTGCAAGTGATTGCAACAGGAATGCCTTCCTCTTGGCTTGGTCTCCTTCCAGGAGGTACCTGAGATGGGCAAGAAGTGTTTGTGTTAGACCAGTAAAAGAGTGAGGCCTGTTTGTCCCTGAGTGCTTGGATTTTGTAAAACATCAGGCTGTTCTGCTCCATTGGATTGTTAATAATTAAACTGGAGAATGACTGCTCTCAGCATCTGTCTCACTCTACTTTCCCAACGCAGTTTGTGCTAAAATAACAGTGTCATTTGTGGGTGGGATCCTTGGCACCCTGTTTGGGATGGCCGATGTAGAGCTGGTGTAACCTGTGGAAGATGTGTGTAGCTGTGGGGAAAAAACCCTTGGTGTGGACCAAAAAAGAAATCTTGGTGCTCATCAAGTCTGGTGAAGCAGCTGCCCTACCTGGAGGTATGAGAAATGCCTGGAGGCACCATTAAGGTGAGGTTGAGGTTCTCCAGAGCTCTAGAGGAAGCTGCCTCAGCCCTGCATTAAGGGGTTTTTAGCCAAATCCAATTTGATTTAGGATTAATGACAACAGACTGAGACTAAGATTTCAGCATAAAAGAGTCAAAAGGCAAGGAGTGTAAATAGAGACCAAAACCTCATGCAACCTTGTTTTCTTCTTTCTTGCACCTCTCCAGGTATTGCTTGCACTTTAATCCTCATGTACATACTGTGCACAGATTGCTGGGCAATTGCTGCTCTATATTTAGCCTGGCTGGTATTTGACTGGAACACACCAAAAAAAGGTAAATATTGCAGAACACATCCTTGTTGTTAAAGTGTCCCTGTCTTGATACTTGGACAAAGAAGCATTTCCTTGTAATGCATGACTTCCCTTCTTAGTGGGACTTAGCTGAATCACTGACCAAAAGCATTATTCAGTGAAGCATTTAAATGTCAGCCCTCGGCATGAGCAGTGACTGCAGGTTTCATTGATGCTGAAGGCAATATGAAATTAACATTCACAACTATCATAGGTTCTTTCTGTAGTTCAGAAAGGTCTAAAGATTCAAGACCTTGCTGTCCTCTCCACCTCTCGCAAGGTTCAGATTATGATGTGGTTATTGAGATGTGGCTCCTCTATGGAGCCAGTGTTGCTTCAAATTAAGCAGAAAACTATTTAAAAAAAACCAAAACAACAACCTGTAGAAGCCAGCTCTGGGAACCAGCAGTGGTAACAAGCTTTGGCAACTACTTTCATAGCCAGATGAGCACAGTTCTCCATTGCTTCAAGATGGCTGAAATTATCCAGGATTTTGGCCTTTCCCAAAGGTTGAATCTTAGTGTTTCTAGTTTGAATTGTAAAGTTGTCTACTGTGAATTTGCAGCCAGGCCGTAATTTGCTTGAAGTACCTTGTATTCCAGAGCGTGCACTGATTTCAGTGAATGATGCAAGTGCCCCACTTGGAGGAATGAAAATGTTGATTCCTGTAGTGAGACAGGAAACACCAGAGTCCTTTAGGCTTTTTGATGGACAGACATGTGGAAAATGCTTTAAAAAAATGATTCATTTTTCTCAACAGGGGGAAGAAGATCCCAGTGGGTGAGAAACTGGGCTATATGGAGGTACTTCAGGGATTATTTTCCAATAAGAGTAAGTGGAAATTTAACTCTATACCCTGGGATTTAACTGCTTTAGTGTCTTGTACTGGCTCTAGTCTGTCTGTGACACTGAACTGTAAGCAAGACATGGCTCAGCTACCATTGTCATACTGCTGCTTGTCACAGCTGTGGTTAGAAAATCTGGAATGTATCACCAGTGGTGGCAATGTGATTGCCAGAAGCTGCTGTTTCTAGTGGTCTTACTGGATTCCTGGAGGCAGTCTGCAATCCTCATTCATCTCTCCAGTTTCTGGAGACACTGGCACAGGTTGTCCCAGCAAGTGGTGGCTGCCTCATCCCTTGAAGTGTCCAAAACCAGGCTGAGTGAGGCTTGGAGCAGCCTGGTCTTAGTGGAAGGTGTCCCTGCCCATGGGAGGGAATTGGAAGTGGATGATCTTTAAGGCTCCTTATAGTGCACGTCACTCTGTGATGCTCTTCTCTGCTGCAGCAATCCTATAGTAGTGCCTGACCCTAACTGTTCCCCTCTCCTAAATCATAAAATCTAGCTCAGTTTCTTCCCATTTTCCAGTAACACTTCTTCTCTGGGATGTATTGGGCCAGAATATCTCAGACCCCTGTGCACCAAAAGTCTAAGCACTTCACAGGGAGCAGTGAAATTTGAATCTATTTGCTTTGGAGAAGTGGATTTTCTAGCACTTGGGAATAGCTTTAGTTCTCCAGCTTGTAACTTGCTCACCACATACTTGTATTTTTCCTGCTGGTTCAGATGTTGCAGAGAGAGGACAGGGCTGCCAGACTGCTCTGGGACCGCAGATTTAGCTGGATGACTTGGAAGGGAGCAGGGGTCAAATTCAGCTAGGAGGGAACTTGATCCTCTTTGGAAGGGCACACAGCTGAAAGGACTATTATGTAAGATTGCTGGCAAGTTTTATTCAGCTTGGGTATGAGGGAGGGGCCTTGATATGGCTTTTGAGCTACCTATCCCCAAGATAGTCCAGCCTCAGAAAGGAACAGAGAATCTAATTCCAAAGCAGCTTAGACTGGATTCTTCCTTTGCAAAGTGACTTGAACTCTCAGGGTGCCTGAACGTGCTGCTGGTGAACAAGCCTTTTGCTGTACTCTTGGAAACATAGAACCATTTAGGTTGGAAAAGACCTTTGAGAGCAAATCTGACCATTAACCCAGCACTGCCAAGTTCACCATGAAACTTGCTGTTGTTAACAGGTAATTCTTGGCAAGTATAAGCGTACATGGAAAAATTCACTATGCCTGCACAGGCTGGAAGTCAGTCTGGGTCTCATGGCTGACAGAGAGCTGAGCAGGATCTGCTGTTGAAGATGTGTCTCAGATGTGTTCTGTTACAGTACCAAGTCCTCAGTGCTTCACTAAACACTGCTGCCTTGGATATTGCTGATTTGGACTCTGTTATGCTGGGGACTTCATTCCAAAGGATCACCTGTAGTGCTGGCTCTGCTGTTCCATCGTTCTTTTGATGACACATTTATCCTTGTCTTCATGGAAATATGCTCTGCAAAAGCCCTGCAGGTCAGATTCACTGTTGATATTAAAAGTTTGTCAAAGAGCTGGGCTATTTAAGTAGGTTTAGAGATGAGGTAGATAAACTAAACTTTGCAGCAGTTTTTAAATAAACACTTTCTAGTTCACATAGCCCATTTATGAGAGCTCCTTATGGGTGTAATTCCTTTACCACTAAAGGGGGAGTAGTTGTGCAAGGTTTATGGAGTCCACTGGTAATTCACATGCAAAGGGCAGAACAGGAGGGCTGACAGCTCAGAGATGACTCCTGCACATATTTTGAGGAACAGAGAGCTGGCTTGGTTGGTAAAAGCTGCTACAGGCATCTTAGGATAGAAAGGTGCTAGAAGTGTTTTTTTACAGTTACAGGACTGATGCATTAACAATGCATCAGCATGAAGAATAAATAGTATCTCTGGATATTAGGAATGGTACCAAGAACCAGAATGCCTTGGGCCTGCTAAGAGCATGGGAACAGTTACCTGTTCTTGGCCAAGAGAGAGACAGGTCTACAGAGGATCACTTGTTCAAATGTTCTCTCTGCAGAAATCCCTTTTACTGGATCCTGATCTCTGTAATGTCTCAGTAGGGCTTGGTTTATGTCCCAGGCTTATGGTCTGTCAGGGCAGTCCTCTGCTGCATCTCATCCTGTGCTGTGTGTCAGCCGAGCACTGCAAGGACAGATTACACCAGTGACAGTCACACTGGTGGTACTTGTAATGCTGAACTTGGTTCCAGCAAAGTCTGCATATAGAGCTGTGGTAGCTGCATTCATACCTGCACAGGTACCAGCTGTGTTGGGCTATCAGCTCAGATTTAATTAATGGAATCATGGTACAGTTGGAAGGGACCTTAAAGCTCATTTCACTCTACCCCTCTGCCATGGTCAGGGACATTTTCCATTAGACCAGATTGCTCCAAGCCCTTTTTAACCCGACCTTGGACACTTACAGGGATGGGGACAACTACAGCTTCTTTGGGCAACCTGTGCCAGGGCCTCACCATCCTCACAGGGAAGAATTTCTTCCTATTTGGCTTGCTGTATTAGAGCAGCTGCATGAGAATCAATCTCTGCTCCGATGTTTATGCTGATCAGGCTGGTCTCACTGGAGTCAGCAGTGCCTCCCAGCCTGAAACACCAGGACTATTGTACCCATACCTGAGATGTGAGGTCATGTTTTGTAATTCCAGGTGGATTTGGAAAACAGCCTGAATCTGGTCAGTTACTCAGCATGAGCAGTCATTGGCCATGTTCTCTGGGACTTCATGCAGCTGCTCTGACAGTAATAAGCTATTTTAGGACACTAGAAACTTGTCTGCTGGTTAATGGCTGGCCTTGTAAATAATGCTTTAAGCTAAGCAGCACATGAAGTGGCTGAGGAATGTCCCAGTGAACTGAATCCTGGACCTGAAGTGGCAGGTGAAGCCCAAGCCCTTGCCAGGTGTACGCATGGGGCTGGACTGGAGCAGACATCACCTGCACACACCATCTCCATCTCACGGTGATGCTCCCAGCAGCCTCCTGGCATATACTGCTGATCTGATGATGTCATCCTGCGAGTGCCATGATCTAAAGGTTTTGTTTAGGTAAAGAAGCTGTCACCTGAGCATGTGAATATCTCCATGTGCAATAGGACTCCAGGTAGCAGGGTTTTGGACCTTTGGCTCACCTTTGTCAGACTGTGAGCGTTTCAGGTGTGTGCAGGGAGACCTGCTCACTGCATCTGGCCAGAGCAGGAGTTGCTGCCAAGTGTCATTTTTGTTTTTTGGTTTCTTTTCCTTCTCAGTATGTCTTGTATTCTGTGTCTTGGCTAGCTTCCTGGCAAAGCTCCTCCTTAACTGTTGTACATGAGCTACAGAATGGAAATAGAAGGGTTTGATTGCTATGTCCTAACCTAGTGTAGTGGAAGGCATTCCAGCCCGTGACAGGGGGTTAGAACAAGCTGTGCTTTAATGTCCCTTCCAAACTAAGCCATTCTGTGAATTTGTGACATATATAATACTGTGAGCCTGGCAGGGGAGTTTCAGGTCTTGGCTTGCACTGCTGGGAAGGTAAGATAATTTCTTCCATAGTGTTGCTGGGTGTGATGCAGCTAAGTGCAATTCTTGGGTTGTTTTGCAAGTTTACATGCTCATGAGATCTGCTGTTTGCATCCTGTAGGATGAGCTCTGGTTTTCTGCTCTCTGCATGCTTCCATAGTCAGTGCTGCTCAGCTCCCACTCAAAAAACTGATTTTCTTCCTGCTCTTTGGCTCCTGGTGTTGAACAGAGTGGTTCTGCAGTCCCCTTTCTCCACTACTGAATGTACTGCTGTTCCTAAAAATAAAATTGGCAATATGGTTCTTTAGCTGTATCTGGCACACAAATATTAACACGCATTTTCTTTACACTATTGCATTGGCTTACTGCTTCTATAGGCTGGCTTAGTTCTGTGTGCAGAAATCTGTTATTATTAGACAGGTGGATGGACTTTGCTCTCAGAGAAACAGGTTTGGTTTCTAGCAGCAACTGGAAAGGGTGTGTTAATGCAATGGGGTGAAGGTTCAGCTTCACTCCCAGTACTGACTGTCCAGCTGAGATGCAGCAGGACAATGTGCTGACTCTGCCTCATTATGGGAGCGCCAAGGCCCCAAAAAGTTGTGTGGGACTGGAGAAGCCCTTGAAGGCAGAAGGAAAAACCAGTTGGAGGTTCAGAACAGAGTTGCAATAGTGCTGTTCAGTGACAGCTACAGCAGTTCCTTGGGGCAACCTGCTAACACTGTTTGCTTCTCAAGGGGAAGGATTCAAACAATCAGCAGATGATCAGCCTCCTGAAGAGAGACATGGAATCAGATAATGGTTTAGGCTGGAAGGGACCTTTAAATGTGTTCTAATTCCAAAACCCCATCTTGTGCACTTTACTCTTCTTGTGTCTTCACTCTTGCTTGAGTCTAGAAATACATGATCTATAGTACTTCAAAAATTCCTGCTTCTAAATTAAATTTAGGGAGAGATGAAGGTGTTGGCAGGTCAGACCCTCCCAGGGTCAGACCCTCCTGAGTTTGTGCTTTAGCAGATTCAAGACCTCCACTTGCAGAGAAGTGCCCAACCCTGTCTGATGTCTGTTGGTCTTAGGTTCCCTGGCTTGACTTGGGTGGAAGAACACATAGAATCACTAAGGTTGGAAAGGACCTTGAAGATTGAGTCCAACTATTCCAGTGCCTTTTGGGTAATTTTTCCCTAATACCTAATCTAAACCTCCCTTGGTGCTACTTGAGGCTGTGTCCTCTTGTCCTATCACTTCTTAGCTGGGAGAATAGACTGACCCTCACCTGCAACCTCCTTGTTTACCTTCTGTGAGCCCCTGTGCTGTGGGACAGGTGTAAGGGCAGTGGCAGCCTGCACAGGATAAATGGGGGGAAAGCACATATGTATGAGTACCAGGCTAAATCTCAGCCCTTCTCTCTTGCTGTTGGTGAGTTGGATCCCTGTACACCTCTTGCCCAGCTCCTGCAGTGCTGTGGATGATTGATTGTCATGGGTATTGCCAACTCTATGGCTCTGTAACAGGAGCTCTTGGAAAGCAACCACAGCAATAAGGCTGCAGCTTGGCTGAGGCTCCTATGAGGTATCCAAGCAATGGGCTCCACTGGGATCTGTGTGTTCTTGCATGTGGTGGAGGAGCTGGAGCAGCAGAACAGCATGTCTTTCATATGTGTGCCTCTGCCAAGCTCAACATGCAGGTGTCTCGTGGTCCAGAATGACGAGGACAAATGCTCTTTCAGATGTCTTTCCTATAAAAGGAGCTGTGCTTGGTGCACGTGAGGGATGAGGCTTGGAAATCACCACCTTGCTCTGACAGGAGCTTTAAGGAAGGAGTGTCTGCTGCTTGTCCAGCCTAGCCATGTGTCTGTACCTACCAGGCCTGGAATCAAAAAGTCAAAATATTGTCTAGGTTGGAAAAGTCCCCTAAGATCCTCAAGTCCAGCCATTCTGCCAGAAGTGCCAAGGCCACCACTAACCCAGCTGCCACATCCACAAAGCTTTTAACTCACCCCAGGGATGGGGAGTCCACCACTGCCCTGGATAGCCTGTTTTAGAAGTCTCTATACAACTAAGCAAGAACTGATAGATGGAGGGGTTGCTTACCATATCACTGCTTTTTTCCTGAAGATGTCTTCAGTCTGTGGTTGCTGTTTCTTGTAACTGATCAAGGGGACAGCCCTTCTACCCTGCGAAGTGAAAGCAAATTGTCTACTAATTGGGAAAGAAGGGAAAGGGGATGAAAGGATGACTTGGTGTGATATAGGCAACAGGGCCCTGCAGAGCTGTTGCAACCACAAGCCTCTGTGCCCTCTTCCTGGGAGCTCTACATGACCTCAAAGCCAGAGGAAATTCTGAAGAAGGCCAGTCAGCTTGTGGGACCTGCTGCTGCATCATGCCTATATCACAGACACTGTTTTGAATAGCACAGGAGCTGTAGCTTCATCTGGGGTCAAGGCTGGGAATGGGAGGAGGGAATCAAGTTTCTGGGCATGCTGCTTTAGTGTGTCACAATGGTACTTCAGTTCCCTGTAGCATGATCCAACAGAATGAACTTGCATAGTGCCAAAACACTTCTTGTCCAAGGCAGCAGGGTGAGCAATGCTGGTGTGACATCTTGAAAAATCTGTGGGATTTTTTTTTCCTATGAGAACTGATGCAGAGCGGCCTTTGCATATACAGTTTGAGGGATGGGGTGCCAAAGCTTCAGCTTGTAGGTCTGAGAGCTGCTGGGATGTTGCAGTTGGCAAAAAGTGGCACTGTTGCAGCCTAAAAAAAGATGTTTAGATTAGATGCTAGGAAGAGATTATTGACTCTTAAGGTAGTGAGGTCCTGGCACAGGTTGCCTGCAGAAAGTGTGGCTGCTCCATCTCTGGAAGTGTTCAAGGCCAGGATGGACAGGGCTTTAGAGCATCTTGGTCTAGAGGAAGGTATCTCTGTCCATGGCAGAGGTTTGGAACTGGATGACTCATAAGGTCTCTTCCAACATCAATTATTCTACCATACAGAAAAAAATTAAATTTGATCTCTATTTTTGTAGGATGGTGCAGCAGCCCTGCTGTGTTTTGTGCTTCCTCAGACTGCATGTGTACTGCCTGGGGAAGATGTTCTGACACATGGGGTGATGCTGCTACCTATAGCATCAAAAAATCCTGGCAGTAGTGGTACCAGAGAATGGGTTGTTCCATGCTAGCTGAGACAGGTGTGGAGAGTCCATGCTGTGCAAACAGAGGAGTAAGTGGTTAGGAATGTTGCAGAGCCTGAGAACAATATGATCACAGCTCTAGAGCATTCCCTGAAGGAAACAGAGGTGGTTTGAGGTGTCTTGTTGACCCTTTGGCATATAGGCTAGGGCAGAACCTCTTAAAAGGAGGGATAGTTTCCAGTGGTTACCACCCTTCTGCACATTTTCCCACTTGGAGGGTGGCCAACAGACCCATTAACTGGTTGGCTCTTTTTTTCAGGCATTAAGTGAACTTGCTTCTGCTATGAGACAGTGATGTTTATGTTCCTTCCCCCTCATACTGGGATGTGAGCCACTAATGTGCTGAGAGAGGGCCTGGAAGGAGGTGTAGCTGTGGCTACAGGACTGAAGATCTTGATTGGTTTGGGCAAGAGGTGTGTAAGAATTCCTTAGGAAGGAGTAGAGAACCAAAAGGCCCAGGCTGCAGGAACCCATGCCCTATTCCTTGGCTGGCAGGCTTCTTGTGTCTGAGATCAGCCTGTTTATCCTGCTCCCTCTGCTTGGGAAACTGAAGTCTAAATGGCTGCTCCTACCAGAGCCTCTGAAATCCAGGAGAGCTCATACATGAGCTCTTAGGCTGTTCTCCCTGGTGGGAAGAGAGACAAAACCTGGGGGATGTGACTTTTTTTACTTCTCCCATTTTTATTTACAACCTGAAAATATCCATCTTCAATTGAGTTTTTTTTTTTTTTTTCTTTCCTAGCTGGTTAAAACCCATAATCTGCTGACCACCAGGAATTACATTTTTGGGTACCATCCACATGGCATCATGGGCTTGGGTGCCTTTTGCAACTTCAGCACAGAGGCCACGGGTGTCAGCCAGAAATTTCCGGGGATCCGACCGTACCTTGCTACCCTGGCTGGGAACTTCAGGATGCCCATATTGAGGGACTACTTAATGTCTGGTGGTAAGCACAATTACACCGTGCCATTTCTGCTCTTGCTCTTGGCTCTGAGCTGTCTTCACCTCTCAAGTGAAAAGCTGTAACCTTTTGTAACCTGGAAGTTCACGTAACCACTTCATGCCCGTAGCATCACCCAAACACTGATTTCATGTAGCTGTCAAGAGGAAGCTGTGAATAAACATGAGAAATCCTGTCTAGTGGGAGGTGTCCCTGTCTCTGGAAAAGGGTTGGAACTGGATGGTATTTAAGGTCTCTTCCAACCCAAACCATTCTGTGATTCTGTAAATATAACTAGTTTGGGCTGCAGGAAATTCTGTTCCTCTGTGTTCATCCTTAACTCGAGGATACTCTTGTCCAAAAGCATAGTAAAGATATATGACAACTGTAGTTATGGAAGGTGGAGATACGGAACCAAGCTTTTCCTAGTTATTGTGAGAAGGTACAGGAAGAAGTTGCACTGACTGAAAATACTGAGTAACCATGGCCAGCTCAGCTCCTGGGCTCACTACCACATAAGTTGTCACACATCTGTGTTTCGTGGTGGTGGATGCTGTCTCCACCCAACTGCACTGCTGGTGCCTGCCAGGTGTAAAGAGTCTGGGGTATTGCATGATTCCAGCTGTTCAGAGAGCCCCTTCCCTGAATGTATTCCTGTAGATGGATCACATGGATTATGCAGTGATCTAAATGTGCTGAATTACATCAATAGGTCTGTTTTAATGGAGTCCAGGATTTTAATGCTGCACTCTTTTAAGCTATGACCGGGCAGAGGAAGCAGTGCTTAAAATACCAATAAAGTGTTCTTGCATGGCCTGAGCTTCCTTTTTGGAGTGAGGACACCTGTGAATTAGATAGAGGTGAGGGAGTAATACTTAAAGACTGTGAATTGAGCAATCCAGTAACCTGTTTGCTGTTTCTGGAACTGATTCATCAGTAAATAAAACAGATACCTTAATAAGTGCCATGGCTGGGAAGACAATAGGAGTAGCTGTACCTGACTGATTTGTTAGAATTGACTATTTCTGAGACTGCTGTCTTAATTGAGGAGAGAAATACTGGCTCTAGTGCAGAAAAGGTGTTTGTCCCTATCTAGAAAGAGCAGGATCTCGAGCTGGTTTTTTATCTTCAGGTACTGATGCTAGTTGCTGTGTGAAGTCCCTAATTTGGGAATTCATGGGATAGTGGCATATGAGAAGTTGGGTTCTGCTTTCCAGTCTGTTATAGCTGTAAATTTAGTTGTGTTGCTTAAGTTTCCATGAAACCTTTTTATATTTTAAAGAAACATCTTCAGTCTGTTCAGTATGACTGGCTGACAAGTCTTGTGGCCAGCCAGAGCTTTCTCCTTTTTGGAAGGAATGTTGGGAGTAGTCATTAGCAACATCCTTACTGGCTTGGCTATCCCTGAACGTTGTGGTTAAACCAGAGGAAACTTGTGCTTCCTCTGTTCCTAGCACCTAAGCAAAACTACAGGTGTGATGAAATTAACCTTCTGAAAGCCATAATTTGTCTTCACTTTCCTATACTAGAACTTAAGGGTGCTGATACAAAGGCCTTAACATCACTTGGAAAGTGCTGATAATACCATCTTTTATTTATTTTTTTTTTCCTGTGGACAAACCACTTTCAGGTGGAATTATAACCAATCATAACACTGTGCCAATAAATAGTTGGTTTACAACTCATACAAATTCTTAATTTTACAGCCTGCTAGAGGTTAAGGTACAACAGGGATCCTGTAAAGCATGAGGGGATGACCAGAAAACCTTGTATACTGTGTGAATGTGTTAAAGAGCAGAATTTATCTCTTGCCACTTGTCTCCATGTCTCATTGCACTTTCTGAAGGAACTGTTTGGTGCTGTGAGCAGCAGTAGTCTCCTGCTAACAAGTGTGGAAAAGGTGAACATAAATCTGTTGCCAGGCCTGTGTAGCCAGTATGAGCCTTGGTGTGGAGAATGGGAGAAAGCTGGAGCAGTGAGTATAGCCTGAGCCTTTCAGAGGAAAAACAGTCAGAGAGATGTAGCTGTGCTGAAAGACACTAATGCTTCATCTTCAATTCCAGCTGATCTGTCTCAAGAGTGGTCTGCTCTGTTCTTACCTGGAGCTGGGATAGGTGATGACCCTGATGCCCAGATAGACCTCAAGGCTGACAGACTTGTCCTGCCTAAGTCCCCAGGACCTGTCCATCATTTAGTTCTTGGCTCAAGCAATCAATAATATGCGATGTGCAAAATTAGCTTCTAAGATTAAATAGTGTAATAGGGCAATGACCTGAAGTAGTCAGATGAGATGTGTTGTGTGATGGGAATGTAAGTGATGGCATCCTGCCTCTCCTTGGCTTATTCTGGCCAAAGACTTGAGGCAGGAGCAAGCTTGGACACCAACTGTAGAATAAAAGTAAGAGTTCAAAGAGCAGGCAATCCATTTTCTTCACATTTTTAAAGCAATACAGAGGAAATGAAAGGTGCTGTCTTTGGGTTTTCATTTTCCTGGAGTGGGGACTGGTGCTTTAGGACAGATTGCTTACTAAAGGTGAAGAGAGGTCCCACTCTTTCCACTGTGAAATAGCAGGAAAGACCTTCACAGACACTTTCCTCAGAGTATGGTCTTAGGTAAACACTCTGTCCCATACATTGCAAGAGCTTCATATCACAGATCTGTCTTAAAGGTTTGTCCATTTATTCTTTTTATATCACTAAACAATTCTCCCATATATATTCCACTACCTAATTTTGCTGAGGAATTGGTCAAAATCAGACTCTCATCCATCAAAATAAAAACTGTTTTCTTCCTCACTAAAGGTAAACCAAATCCTACTGTAAAATTTACATGGAGGAAGGATGTCTGATGGCAATGCCTTTGATACCACTAGGTATAGAAAATCCTTGCTGAAGTCTTTTGATAAAGGAAAATTTTTGAGAGCTGATGTTTGTGGAGTTTGACCAAGTCTAGTGCTGCCAGGCCTATGAACTGCTTGTTTAGTTGAGGAACAGGTTGCTTGCTAATACCACTCTGTCTGATCACAGAGAGGTTGGGACAACTCAACTTGCAACTGAGGTATAAACTTTGTGCTGTAAGTATGAGAAGATCCTGAAGTAACCAGCCAATCTCGTAGCGTGACCCTTGTGTCTGTCTTCCTTAATCCAGGTATATGTCCTGTGAACCGTGACAGCATAGACTACATCTTGTCCGAGAATGGCAGTGGCAATGCCATCATTATCGTGGTTGGAGGGGCAGCAGAGTCCCTGAACTGCACCCCAGGGAAGAATTCTGTGACACTGAAGAACCGGAAAGGATTTGTGAAACTGGCTCTACGGCATGGGTAAGGGGCAACCTCAGTGCTGCACAGTACTGCTACCTTGTGGAAGGTGCGTTTATTTGAACAGCTTGGTC